TGTCACGGGATTGTATATTATTATAACACTTGTTTTGGGGATTATTTGATTCAATGGTAAAAAGATTACATAAAATTCATAAAACGAGATTTTTGAATTTTATAGATACATGATTAATTAAATATTTTCAACTATATATATAATGATGGATTTGATTACTAAATCTTTCTAATTAGATAGTAATTAATCAAACTAACAAGGTATTCATGTAATTTCTCATTAACATAAGTTATTTTCAAATTTATACAAAATTAAGTTGTACTTTTTTTCTTTCTAAAAATCATTGATTTAAATTAAAAAAAATAGTGAATATATATATATACTTACTTGTAGAGCACGCCGCAAAGGGCGTAAGGCGCCTTTAGCAGCGTGATCACCGAGCCACGGTGTATACCGCCAAGCAATTTCTCCATCACATCCGGCTGTAACCTTATGGCCGCCACCAACCAACTCAATAAGCCATTTTTCCGGTAACATTTGCCACATTACGAAGCATCCTTTATGAGATACTTGCGAGGCAGTACCAACCGTGGCTGAGCCATTAGGATCATTCACCATATTCATTGTGATTTTTCCGGTCACAAAAGTATTTTTAATTCCACCTGCTAGCTTCTTGCATCCCGTTGCTGCGGCGAAATGTTGTATTATGTATTGTGCTGATGATGATACCTTTAATGATCATAATAATGATGGATTAGTATGATTAACATCCACATATATCTGAACCTTTTTTTTTTGTTCTCTATCAATATGTTGGACCTAATCTCCAACAGAAGTTTGAATATCATGATATCATTTTTTATTTGGTTTTTTTCTTCTCTCTCTCTCCCTTTTTCTAGTACAAATCATGTATTTTTACTGAACACAAAATAAAATAAGAACAAAAAGTTATATAATTCAGATCTGAAAAACCAAAGCCGCTCATGATAAAGGAATAATTAATTTAAGGGTCTCTACTCTATGTAGTATGTATGGATCTCGTGATAGACTCTTTGACTATTCTTATTCCTTTTTTTATTTACTGATTTGTTATGTATATTTTTGTCTCCCTTATATACACCAAAGTAGTTGAAGCTTGTTATGTCACACTGACCTATATTGTCCACAGATTTTGGTAAACTCACATCTATCATAAAATCTTTTGAAAATGAAAAAGGCTATAAATAGGTAATATAGCTACCTATTCATCGGAACCTACCTAGCAAATTTATATTCTTAGTAATTTAACTAAAGAAGACTTTGAAGAAAAAAAAAAAGACTACAATTAACTTAAAATTTAAATTTCACCCAATAAATCTTAAAATATTACTTATCCTCTTTGAAAATCAAATAGAATAAAATATTGTATCCATTGAGATCGAAATATACCACAAACCATTTATAAGGTATCAAAGTAAGAGATGGAAAACTTAATATCAGGTTACTAATTCTCATTTTTCTCACCAAATTAAAAACACGTCCAAAATGCTTGATCTAATCAAATACAAAAGACATTTTTGAGATGACAAAACATATACAAAAACATCATATATTTTGATCCCAAAAAAAACGTCATATATAAATCCAATTTAATGTTACCAACAAAAATATGTTCTTTTGTTCGTCTAAATACATCAAATTCATATACGTAAATACGGCATATAAAGTACCTGTTGGAGAGAGATTTTGGAGAGAGGAGGAACAGGGAAGAGAGGACATCCCATAACACTTAGAAGAACCTTCATATCTGGTTTTTTGTGAAAGACCATGAATTGTAACTGTGTCTTTATCCATTTCTTCCACGATTTCGATCTCG